CTGCTCTGCCTTCACCCTCCCTGCTCCCCTCATCATGCTCTTGCACTTGCATTTCGAGGGACGGCAGCGCTGGAAGGGATGGAAACAGCTTTCCTGGTGAAACATGCTCGTTCTGTGTATGGGACAGACTGCACGAAACACTGGATCCAGCTCTGTCCCCGCCTGCCTCGTAGCCAAAAGCGCTTCACAATTCATGTGAAAAAAAGATGCCCCGCAAAAAACAAAAAAAAACAAAAACAAAAAGACGTCGGATAGATAATGTGTGTGGTAGCTCCTGTGAGCTCAGCCTGCAAATCTCAGCAGCTAAGCGCTACTTCTCCAAAGCAGACAAAGGGGTTTTGACCAGTTTGAGAGAGATGTACTGAAAGCAAAATGTTTTGGGAAGTCATGTTTTACTTTCACGGTGATAATTTATTTTAAAAGTTTAATACGTTAATATTTATTTGAAATAATTTTGAGGCAAGGGATATTAACAGAAAACTGGCAAAGGCTCTCTAGGCTGTGCTCTTTTGAAAACTCTTTGGTTATTTAAAGAGACAGACATCATAAAATGTATCTAATCTGACCTTGGAGATAAAGTTTTAGCTCAGCCGAAGTGAGTGAACACGCTAGACAGTTGATACTCATTTAACATCTCTACTGTACAGAAAATCTTTGACATAAATTATTTTATTAACAAAAGGGTTCAGTTGAATTAAATATATAAACAAAGCAACAAATTTATTCATGTAATTACTAGGTAATCTTACTCAAGTAAAGTTTCACTTGTATCACCTGTTAAGATAACTTCATATGTATAAACAGGAAGCTTTTAATTGAATAAACGAGGTTTATAGAAGTGGAAGTAAATTTATTTTAATAGGATTATTTATCACATTTTATTAAGAAAATTGTACTCTAATAAATGATTTACTGTACTACTTTAAAAATGTTAGCTGTTTGGATTGTTGACAAGGAGATAATTATTTAATTTTACTGAGTCCTCCCCCGCATGCACACACTTCTTACCTTACATCAGCTTTTTAAGTATAACTGATTCCCTTATAGTCTATATTTTCCAGTTTCAGTCCCAGTGTAGAAGGCACAGTAACCTAGTTCTGTTCCATTTGAAATGTTCCATCCTATCCCACATCTCACAAAAATGGCTTGGTTAAAAGTAACACAGTAGGACTTTCTGAAAGTTCAGTAATACATAAAAGCAGTTCTTGTAAATTTTTAGATAGTAGAATAATTATAAAGTGGTATGTTTTAAATTTACATAGTACACTTCTGAAGCAATCAGAAAAAAATGTTTAGTTATATAAGTGGAACACAAGAGCATGATGTAGACATTTCCATTTTTAGGTACCCACATTTGAAGGTCTGATATACGATTTTACTCACTAAAGTTATTTTTTGTAAAAATTGAAAGTATAACACAGGCCAGATCCTGAAACCTGTGAATAATAATTACTCACATAAGTAGTCCACTAGACTCCAGTGGAATTCTCTGTAAGATTTCTCTCTTGAATTATTTATAGATGACACTTAACCATTTTGTGCTTTTCTCCCTCAAGGATTTCCTTAAAAGAATAATTTGTGTTTGTCCTGGATGATGATGATCTAGGACCATAGTGTCCAAATGAGTTCTGAAGTAGTAGCCACTACAGCACACTAGCCACATTCAATGGGCCAAATAGCCACATCTGGCTAGTGGCTAGCGTGTTGAACACTATGGATTTAGGACGTTTGACCAGCATGTATTTGGGTTGGTTACATCACCGACAAGTAGGAAAGCCAAGAATGAATGATACAGTTCTGCCCTAATTCAAGCTGAAAAAACCTTTATGTCACACCTAAGTAGGATGTAGTCTGCAAATGGACATGATAAATACATCCTTTTTAGGAACATTTTAGAAAGTTTTAAAAATTATGGCACTTTTAATCTGTTACAGTCATACAGTGCATAGGAGAAAATGCCTCAGCCTATGTGAAAACCTTTAAAAATGGCCTAAAATTAGCTTTTGTAGATGTCATAATGTCATAAGTTTCAAGGTCCAATATCCAGGCTTTACAGAGGCAGAAGTGAATGCATGGTTCCCAAGACTTATGTAGCTTCGTGTGTGACATTTTATGCAAAATATGTAACTAATGTGTTCATTTAGTGGTGGTGAACGATATCTGAAAGACACCAGATTTCTCACAGAGGCTTGTCTGGAGTAAAGAGACCAGATGCATCCAGGCTGGACCTTATTCCTTGTACACTTTTCTCCTGGGGGCATTCTGTATCAAAAAATAAATTTTGTACACAATATTTTTAAAATTCTGCAAATTTTATTTACGAAAATAATTGAAACTTGTGTTATTTTGTTAATTTATTTAAAAATACCTACCAGCAAGTTTAAACAAAAAACAGGACTATGTAGCACTTTAAAGACTAACTAGATGGTTTATTAGGTGATGAGCTTCGTGGGCCAGACCCACTTCCTCAGATCAAATAGTGGAAGAAAATTGTCATAACCATATATACCAAAGGATACAATTAAAAAAATGAACACATATGAAAAGGACAAATCAAATTTCAGAACAGAAGGGGGATGGGGAGGGGAGGTAAATGTCTGTGAGCTAATGATATTAGAGGTGATAATTGGGGAAGCTATCTTTGTAATGGGTAAGATAATTAGTCTTTCTTCAAACTTAAGTATAAAGTGTCGAATTTAAGCATGAATGACAGTCAAGTGTGGTCTTAAAAGGCCTTTGAAGCAGGATGCAGGTAATCAAGTCGTTGAGACAATGTCCTTGCTGGTTGAAATGGCAAGAAACTGTTTTTTCTCTGTGATCCTGTCTAATATCTGTTTTGTGGGCATTGATCCTTTGGTAAAGTGTCTGAGATGTTTGTCCAACGGACACAAAAATCCTGACAGGAGTAGACAGGAGTAACCCTTATGATAATTCAGTTCCTGTTTCTCTGTTCCCTCCTACCCCATGAGCCCAGCCAGTGGGTCAGACATCGCCAACCCTTCCCCGCAGGGCCCTTTTCCCATATTCCCCCCCCCCCAGTTCAGCCATGGCCCCCCCAACCCAGATGCCCAACACTGTTACCTCCCCCCTTGAACCTAGCAATCCAGAGGGGAAGTAGCCTGATGCTTGGAACCAGCTTACATGGAGTTCAAGCTGGTCTCTTCAGGGCCCTTCATTGCAGCTATCAGCAGTGCTGCCCATTTTTATGTGTGAAAGGAAATTCGGCACACGTGTTAATTTCTGCAAAATTCTGTACCACATGGGTATGCAGAATTACCCCAAGATTAAACATTCTGCTCTGTTTGAGGGGAGAGAGCCTAGCTCCTCAGAAATATCCTGAAGCCCTGCTTTTTCGTGACCAGTGTGCCAGTAGCCAGAGTACAGGCAGTCCCCGGGTTACATGGATCCGACTTACATCGGATCCCTACTTACAAACGGGGTGAGGCAACACCGCACTAGCTGCGTCCCCCGAGCAGACCAGGGAGACGTGAAGCTAGCGCCTCCTCCCCCCCAGCAGACCAGGGAGACGCGGAGCAGCTTTTCTCAGCAGACACCTCAACTTGAGAATAAAGGACTGAGGGAAGTGAGGTGTGGGAGAATAAAACTGAGCTCTGGAGAAATGTTTGGCTAGAGTTTCCCCTACAATATGTACCACTTTCGACTTACATACATATTCAACTTAAGAACAAACCTACAGTCCCTATCTTGTACGTAACCCGGGGACTGCCTGTAGTAATTG